AGCCATCAGCCATCAAAGACACAAATTAAAACTAAAATGAGGTACTGTTACACGCCCCTTGGAAAGCCAAGTCTTAAAAAAAAAAAACAAACACATGCACAACAAAAACGAATCTCAGAAAAGAACGCATGCTGGTGAGCACGTGGGAGATTCGGAACACTCATCCACAGCTGCTGCTGCTGGTGGTGGTGGTACACACCTTCAAGCTGGAAGCAACTCGCAGCTGACCTTCCAGCCCGTTTTCCGAGCCCGTACCTTTCTCCCATGGAGAAGCTGGGGGGTTCGAACTGCGTGCCTTTGAGCTGGCAGTGTAACTCCTTACCATTCAGCCACCAGAGTTCCCCACCCACTGCCAGTTGTTGTTGGGAATGCAGAGATCTCTGATCTATCTACTCCATATGATGTAGAAACACTGGTTTTATCAGATACTTGGGCTAGTCGGTACTGACCCACGGCTTACCCTCCAGCGGGTTTTCAGAGGCCGTTTAGGAGGAAACTGCCCAGCCTTCCCCTGAGAAGATTCAAACCACATACCTTTGAGTGGCCAGCACGACACCTTACCACTAGGCCACCAGAGCTCCCTGCTGGTTATTGTTTTGAGGTGTCATCGAGCCGAGTTTAACTCATGGTGACCCTACTATGCACAGCCACCCTGAAACCTGCCCTACTTTGTGCCATCGCTGGCGATATCATTTTACATTGGCATCTATTGTGGATAGGGATGCAAAACGGCATAGCTGCTGTGGGAGACGTGTGGCAAATCCGCAAAGAACTAAAAACAGAATCTGCATTTGACCCACTGATTTAGCTCTATACACAAAAGTCTTGGAAATGCAGCATCTGAATAGAAACATGTATGCCAGTGTGCACCGCAGGACTATTTACCAGAGCCGAGAAGTAGAAACAGCCCAAATGTCCCTCAACAGCTGAACAGATAAACACAATATAGTACAGACATGCAATGACACACAGCTTGATCACAGGGAGAAACGAAGTCTCAATTTATGCAACCACATAGACGGCGTCTGAAGACATTTTGCTGAATTACTTAAGTCAATTTAAAAAAAAGACAAGTATTGTTTGATTTTATTTATATGAAGGAGTGCTGGTGGTCTAGTGAATAAGGAATTGTACTGCTAACCCACCAGCAGGTGGTTCAAACCCACCAGCTGCCCTGTGGGAGAAAGACGGGCAATTTCCTCCTGTGCAATTCACAGCCGATGAAAACCCACTGGAGGGTCCACCAGGAGAAGGGGCCCACTCGAAGGCAATGAGTGAGTGTGAGTGTCATTTATATAAAAAGAAAATAATATGCAAAAACTACAGAGAAAGTTTAGTCGTGTTTACTGGAGTGTGATGATGGAGGAAGAGTTAGCGGTGACAGGAAAATTGTACTGATTAAGGGTAATGCATAGCCAATTCTTATAATTTCTGCCAATAAGTTTTATTCTTATAAAAAGTTAACTTGATGAAAGTTGTGTCTTACAAGCTCACAAGGTACCGTCCAATACACAGAAATTGGTCTCTCCTCACTCTCTACTCCTATTAGAGAGAGTCAGGAACAGGGAGAGGGCATACAACATCTAGCAAATTGCCTCTGGTCCATGAGAACAGAAGAAGTGGATGGTGCCCAGCTACCATGATAGTTCACTGTGATCATAGAGTTTACAGAAGACTCCTGCTCAAAGGGGGAAAGGACAGAACAGAATTCTAATTGCTCCTGGAGACCAGAGCTCGGGTGGCCTAGTGGTAAGAAGCTGTGTTGCAATCCCTGAATGATTCAGTTCAAATCTACCAGCTGCTCTGTGGGATAAAGATGGACAGTCTCCTCCTGTGTGATTTACAGCCTCTGAAAACCCACGGGAAGGTCAACTATGAGTTGCTTCCAATTCAATGGCACATAACAATAACAAGGGACTCCAGACTTCCTGGACCCATGAAAGGTGGATGAACCCCCAAAGTGCTACCTGAGAGAATCATTAAACTATAACCAAAACTAGATTCTGAAGCAGTAAGGAACTGTATTGCCAATGCTAATGCGGTGACGGTGGTGGTGGTAGTGGTTATGTGCTGTTGAGTCATTTGTACAAGAGCCCTAAACCTTGCTCTATCCTGTGCCAACCTCACTGTCTCCGACACACCTACTCTCACTACTCCAATCACTGAATTGATCCATCCAAGTGCTCAATGTGAGAAAGGTGGGGCAGTCTCCTCCTGTACTATTTACTGCCTCTGACAACCTGCTGGAGGGTCAGCTACGAGTTGATTCCAACTCGATGGCACAACACAACAACAACCAGAGAGCACCATCTAAAACAGGAAAAACGCTAACAACCTACAAGTGGATTCTCAGTCGTGGGGCCGCACTCCTTCAGTTTCTAAGACTGTAAATCTTCACAGGAGGGCGTTGCTCATCTTTCTCCTGAAGAACACCGTGGGGGTTCAAACAGCCAGCCTTTCCTTTCACCACCCGATAAGCAATGCGTCAGGACACCCGAGCTCCTTAAGAACTCTCTCTAGGGGGCTAAACGGACAACAACCACGTGAAATCTCTGATTCCAAGTGAGCAGCGGAGGAAGAATAATTCAAAAAAAGGAAAGTGACAATGGATGGTTCACCATGCAAACAGTGCAATCAATGCCACCAACGTGGACACGCAGAAAGAGCTGACCTGGTGTATATTCTGCTCTGTGTATTTTCAACAATAACAAAACAAATACATAAAAAAAAAGTGAGTTGGTAGAACTGTGGAAGGTGCTTCAAAGGGAGCGCCCGTGGAGTGAGAAGCACACGTGCCAGGCCAGAGAGGCCCAGGAGCAAGTCAAGAAGAGCTACCACTGCCTGAGTCCTAGAGGCTATGCGTCAGCAACATCCGCCACCATCGCTGCAGTAAGTGCTCAGCAAATAACCCAAGAGACTGCTAATCCTCTGTAGCTCGCCCATCTGATTCCATTCAGCAAAAGCATCTTCTAGGAAACACTTCCCTGAATTTCACAAGGTGTTCTATGTACAGTACCTGCTGAAAATGAAGAGTGGAGAGAGAGATGTACTATCACTATGATCAAACAAGCTGAGATTCTCCTCCAGATAAATGGGTGAATCTGAATCAGATGAAAATAATAATTAATAATAATAATGTGGGATTATATCAAATACAGTCCTTTTGGACTTAGCTTTTTTTGGGGGGGGGGAAGTTGCCACTGAGTCAATTTGAACTCATGGTGACCCCACATGCGTCTGAGCTCAGTGAAGGCTCCGTTTCGTTTTCAGTGGCCTATTTTCCTAAAGTTGACCGTTGAGGTTTCTGTTTTATTTTGCTTTTTGTTTTGTTTTTAACATGCTGCTCACTTTAAACATAACTAACCTTTCTTCCTTCCAATATGCTAATATTATTTCTTCAAGTTTGGGAGATAATAAGTTTTCATACATGTCCACAGACTGGCAAAGATGAACAATATCATGCCTGATTATGTTGGGTTTTTTTAAGCACAGTTTTAAAAGCTTTAGGATTAAAAAAAAAATCTCATGTTAATAATAACAGCATATGCCATTTCTTAAATATATTATAATGAGACATTTTCTAATATTTGTTTTAATGTCTTCCTTGACTCATAAATTACTTGGAAGTGCACTCATTTCCAAGAAGTTCAAGCTTTCTTCATTAATGTTTATTAAATTCTAGCAAGGTTTCATAATGAGCAGAGAATCGACGCCAAACAATTTCAATCCCGACATTTGTAGATTTCTTCAGGGCACAGTGAATGACTCATTTTATTTTATTTCGTTCCATGGGCACGTTAAGAATGTGAGTCCTATTTTTGCCAGTGTCATAAGAGTCAATGAGGTCAATTTAGTCTTCACTTTATTACAATCTTCTATTCTGGTGGCCTAGTCTGTACTGTCCTGTGCTGCTAATAAAAACGGCTTTTGGAAAAAAAAAAGAGGAACGAACTGGGGTGGGGGGAGAGGGTAGAGAAAAGAGTGCAACAATGAATGAATGGAAACCCAAAATCTCTGTAAATGTTCATTAAATTAACAAAATTTAATAAAAAAAAAAAAGGCTTTTCCCTGCTGGTTTGAATTCACCAGTGGATCTAAGGGGAAAAAGATGGGCAACTTCCTTCTGTGTGATTTACAGCCTCCTACTGGGACCGGTCCTTGGAGAGGGATGTCATGCTTGGGAGGGTGGAGAGACAGTGCAGGAGAGGAAGACCCTCAATGAGATGGATTGACTCAGTCACTGGAGTAATGAGGGTAGGTGTGTCAGAGACAGTAAGATTGGCACAGGATAGAGCAGGGTTTAGGGATGTGGTTATGTAGAGTCGCTATGAGTTGCAGATGACTCGATGGCACATAACAACAACAAACACTGGTGTCTTTTAGCTGTGGTGTTGGAAAAGAGTGCTGAATATCCTATGTTGCTGTTACTGTGGTGTACCGTCAAGTCGGAACTAACTCATAGCTGACCCTTCCTGGTGGGTTTTCAGAGGCAGTTAATCACACAGGAGGGGACTGCCCATCCTTCTCCCCCTGAGCAGCTGGTGGCCTCGAACCTCGTGCCTTCAGGATTGCAGAGAGGCTTCTTACCACTAGGCCACCAGAGCTCCCTGAATATCCCACAGACAACCAGAGGAACAAACAGGGTCGTCTTGGAAAAGGTGCAGCCGGGGTGCGCCTTTAAACGTGGATGGCGGAGATTCCTCTCTCACGCTTTGGATACTTTCCTAGGGCAGGATATTCCTTGGAAAAGAGCATCAAGCTCAGAAAGGTCCGCAAAAGAGAGGCAGATTCCCAAGGAGATGGTGACTGGTGACATGGTGACCAGAGCCATGGGCTTCTGTGTATCAGAGATGGTGAGGGTGGCCCAGGATAGGCCAGGACTCAGGTCTGTTGTCCACACGGTCGCTAGGAGTCATGCATGACTCCACTGCACACACACAGCCATGAGCATGGAAACACGCTTCCCAAGTTAAAGCGTTAGCAAAACGCTTCCTTCTTACCTCTTCATAAAACTTCACCTGCGGGACGGCTTCATTAATTTCATTCAGACAAAAATCTTTAAATAGCAAGAAACCTAGAGGAAAAGAATAAAAAAAAAACAAAAATTCAGGATAGAGAATGAAGCAAGGGAAACTTTACCCTACATGGTGTTTTCAAAGAAGTTTACCTCTTACCTCTTACCTCTTCCTCTACGTTAAAATAAAACATCACTGAGCAGCTATTTATGGCCTGGAAGAATGCAGCACCTGCCTGACTGTTTGCTCCAGGGGGCTCCTTCCCTTTCACAAGCCACCCCTCTCGTTTAAAAGACGCAGGACAAGCAGTGACAATGGTTACTGCCCCGTGGCGCCCTGGTTGCTATAGCGAGCAGAGAAACAATGAAAGAAACAAAGCCCGTCGGCAGCATGGAAGGGCTGGTCTGAGTCACTGCGGAGCCCACAAAACTCCTAAAAACACAGAGCAACTTTCTAGACTTTTTTCCTTTTAATTTCTGTTCTATATCGGTTTGCTTATATAAAGTTGGCATACATTGTTTTCATACTTGATTCATATTGTGTTACATATAATCATTCCCATGCATTATGGGTTGTGTATTTTTTTTTTATTTTCATGAAAGTTTATAAAGAACTTGGATTTCCATTCATTCATTGTTACACATTTTCCTCCCTGTCCTCCTCTCCCACCCAGTTTGCATTTTTCTTTGGGGAAAAAAGTTCTTTCATTGTTATACTCCCTGTGCCCCCGTCCCAGGCACCACCCCAGACCACTTTACTACACAGCTCTTCTGGACTCTTAACATGCCAATCATATATGCTTGATATGCTAATCATATATTCCTTTTATACAGTTCTCTCCCTCGTCTGTTTCAATGCCAAGTACATTATTTATTCCCTCTTTTCTTAGTTTTCCCCCAACCCCCATATCGGTCCTATTCGAAAGTGGCATTATCCAGTATTTGTCTTTTTGTGACTGAGATTTTCACTTAGCATAATGTCCTCCGTGGCCACCCATTTTGTATAGCATTCCATGAGTTCTTTGTTTTTCAGGGCTGCATAATATTCCACTGTGTGAATAGACCACAGCTTCTCTATCCATTCGTTTGTTGATGGGCACTTGGGTTGTTTCCAGCTCTTTGCTATTGTGAACAAAGCAGCAATAAATATGGGTGTGCATGTATCTGCTTGGGTGGCAGTTCTAGTTTCTTTATACTTTATAAAATTAATCACCATTGAATGTTGCCCACCTTTACCCTGTCTTTTCAGGTCCCCGCCGGATCCTTCCCATTTCCTTCACCCCTTCCCTTCACCCACCAAACTGCGCAACCCTGTGATTTCGCCCCCCACCCATCCTCATCCCTCTGGCTCCCATCCCTTCCCCTTGGGTCCCCATACATATTTCACTAGTTATCCTTCATTTTAACAATAATACTCTTATGGAGTATTTGTCCTCATGAGACTGAGTGAGTTCAGTCTTTTTTTTATTTTCTTTTTATTTTATACTGGTTTATTTACAAAGTTCCTAGACATTGTTTTTCACACCAATCTTCCCCATTCCCTTCACCCCCTCCTCAAACTGTGTGACCCTATGATTAATGCCGCCACCCCTTGGACCTCTGCTCCCACCCTCCCCCGTGGATCCTCAACACTCAGTCTTTTTTAAATCACTCCTTCATCGGCCCCAAGTTCCCACCCTGAACGCCAGAGCCAGCAACCCCTTCCCACAGCACTCTTTGCTCCGTCACAACTCCAGGCCTCACCCCTTGGTTTTTATTATGATTCGAATGAAAGTTTATGAATCATGTTGACTTTTCAGTCAGACATTCATGCACATTTTGCTTTTCAACATTAGTTAAAATTCAATTCAACTCATTGCTGTCAAATAGAAACTAAATTCATTGCTGACGTGCCCAGCAAGTTTCTGGGGCTGCAAAGAGCACAGGAGAAGACTGTCTAGCTCCTTCATGAAGAGTTGCTGGTGGATTTGAACTGCTGGCGAGGTTTGACTTCTGGCTTAGCCATGGAACAGCTTCCTACAGACTATGCTAAAGGAGCATTTAATTACAACAGCTGATCGACCTTTGCCTTTATCCACCTTAATATGTGTCTATTACTATTAATTGCGCTCATGTGACATTTATACCTTGACCAAGAGGGTGTAGTGTGAACAAAGCACGAGAGAATACAGCACGGCTTCAAATTAGGAAAGGCGCGTGTCAGGGCTGTAGCCTCTCTCCATAACCTACCCTATATGCATGGTGAGAAAATTATCCGAGAAGCTGGACTCTATGAAGAAGACTGTGGTATCAAGATCAGAGGAAGACTCAACAATAACCTGTGTTATGTAGATGACACAATTTTGCCTGCAGAAAGTGAGGAGGACTTGAAGCACTTGCTGCAGAAGATCAAAGAACACAGCCTTCAACATGGATTGCATCTTAACGTCAAGAAAACAAAAATTCTTCTCACTGCATCAATAGGCAACATGCTAGATGGGGAAAAGATTGAGACTGTCAACAACTTCATCTTACTTGGATCCACAATCAACAGTCTTGGTACCAGCAGTCAGGAAATCAGGAGCTGTACTGGGGAAAGTCTGCAGGCAGGGACCTCTCCAAATTATATTGAGGAGCAACGATGTCAGTTTAAGGACTAAGGTGTATCTGATTCAGGCCGTGGTCTTTCCAATCACTCGCTATGCATCTGAGAGCTAGATAACGAATAAGGGTGATAGAAGAATTGATGTCTTTGAGCTATGGGGTTGGAGAAGAATGCCGAATATCCCATGGATGGCCAAAACAACAAACAAGCATGTCCTGGGGAAAGTGCAGCCAGAGTGCTCCTTGGAGGCAAAGATGTTGCGGTTTCGTCTCACATGCTTTGGACTTGTGGCGAGGAGGGGCTATTCCTTGGAGAAGAACATCATGCTTGAAAAGGTGGACAGTTGGTGAAGGAGAGGAAGACCCTCAACCAGATGGACTGACATAGTGAGTGCTGCAATGGGCTCCAGCGAGTCAGGAAGCGTGAGGACGGCGCAGGATGGAACAGGGCTCAGATCTGTGGCTCAAAGGTCCGCTATGGTCCTACGCAACTCGATGGCATGTAACAACATAACACATCACTAATTTTCAATCCTCTCTCCCTCCTCCCCATCCTTAGTCATCATCCAAGAACAATTCTATCTGCATGTCACAACTCTCATTTTCTGAAATTCATTCCTGACATAATTAGTATTTTATTATACTTCTTTTTCTTTGTCATACTTTCATTTTTATACAAAAACCAGGAGTGCACTGAAGCAGAACAAAAACACAGAGATACAACTTTAAAAGTTTGAGCAAAGATAATATAAATAAATTGCTAACATATTTTTAAAAATGCTAATACGTCTAACCAGATCAATGAACACTCGCTCCACAGTAATTAAATAACTCTGAGAGGAAAACAAAAAGGCAGCTCGGATATACTAAGGGAATGCCCCTGCAGGAGACATAAAGTCCTTCAGTGTCGTCTTTAGAATATACTACACTAAGCCGGTGTGTTGGTGTTAGGTGCTGTCAAGTCTTAACTGATTCACAGCTGACCGTCCAGCTGACTTTCAGCGGCTGTAAATCACATGAGAGGAGAATGGTCAGCTTTCTCTCTTTCAGAGCACCTGGTGGACTCAAACTGAGTGCCTTCAGGATGGCAGTTCAACTCCTTACCACCAGGCCACCACAGCTGAGCAAGCACTTCCGTATCACAGAAAGCTCTTCTTCATCCCTCCAAGTATTTCAAAGCAATCTCTGCTGACACTGCCTTCAGAATCACAAGACACAGCGTGAGCCGGTGACAGCCGTCACGCAGAACTGCTTCTGAAGCAAGCGTGACTGCATGACGCGTCAGAACTCGGGGCTTCATTCTGCAGGTGAGCCAAGTCACACAGCAGCTTTGGAACCTCTTCAGGGCCAGTGCAGAGAGCTGAATGCATTCTCCTTAATGAGCTGCGCTGCCGGCTCAAAGGCAGAGGTGCTCAGGCCGGTCAAACCCTCCAGGGGTCCTGGGAGAGCAAGATGGGCACTCTCTCCCCAGTGTGATCCACCACCTCGGAAACCCAAGGCAGGGCCACTGAGGGGTCACACTGGAGGAAAAGAAATGAGAGTAAGTACTAGTACATATTTTCAACTTGAAAACAAAAAGGCCTTGGATTCCTTCCTCTCAAAATCTCAACTCCAAGATTCTAGTATCTGAAATGAAAGATGAAACAGAAATGATCAAGTCAGGGAATGGATGGAGAAGGCCCTAATCACCCGTGATCACAAGGTCAAGCGGAAGGGGGAGTATCAAAGATAGAAATAAACTGGTTGGCAGAAAACCTTGAAAGCCAGGGACACACACCTAGGCAGGAACGTAAGCCTGTAACGTGATGTCCTTGGAACAAATATTAGATCAGAGAGAACAGATGGTGCTCATTCACCATCGAATGAAAAAAAGAAAAATCCTAACAATCAGTTCTCACAGGTTTCCATTCCACTTCTTCTCCTTAACCTTTGCCCATGTTCACTTTGGATTTTGGGTGTTTTGTTCACCTACGTACGAGCTCCTATACGGTGGCAATGGAAGTTGGGCCATCAGCCTTTCACAGGTTCACCCAGGAAACACAGGCTTCAATAGTGTTTTAGACCAAGATAGACGAGGGAAAAGGATGATTTACTTCTAGAAGAGGTGACTGGTGAAAGCTGTATGAATAGCAACAGAACACCGTTTGTCACAGCGCCAGAAGATGAACTCCTCGGGCTCAAAGACACACACACCACCAACGGGGAAGAGATGCCGCATCAAAGCTGCTGTGTCGACAGGTGCCCTGGAGCCAGCTAGGACTCACACTGACCCAATGAGCCACAGGGCAAGCTCGTGCCCTCTCCCTGTGCCAATCTCACCACCTTTGCCATGCTCAAAGCCCACTGTTATAACCGCTGTGTCACTGCATTACATTAATCATCTTCATCTGTTTTCTGACCTTCCTCCACTTTTCCCAGCTGATGTCTTTTTTTTTCCAGATAGACCAGCCCCTCCTGACAACAAGCCCAAAGTGTGT